AAATAGTAGGTAGGTAGAGAACAATTTTTCTTTTCAGACAGACTGTTAATCACAAAGTTATTTAAAGACGTTAATTAATTTATTGATTTATTCATAGTTAGATTAACCACATTAATTTTAAAGTTTTAGAACAACTGCTCAACTTTGACTGAATAGTGACGTTTGATAACTCATTTGTTTGTTTGTTTTTCTGATTTATTATTGGGGAGAATTTGCATTATGTGTAGAGCTATAAAATAGGATTTTGGGTGGTAAATATTGTTCCTTCTTAAACACACTGTTAATTACAAACTAATTTAAAGCCGTTAATTAATTGATTGATATATTCATCGGTAGCTTACCCACATTAATTCTAAAAGTTTAAAACAATGAATTAAGTAATAGTACAAGGATTTATATTTTTTTACAACAATGTTTTCAATTATTTTTTAAGGCCTATATGTGAATGATAAGGTTGACTATCAGGACCTCGCGGGGCACGGCAGGTGAAGTAGAGTTCACCTGTTTCTATGTTCTCAGCATATGAAGGGATAGTGTGGTCAGAGCCATGCACGGCCGGAATCGTTTTTTTTTTAAATTCAAACATGTATGAGACTTGGCGGGACACTGGGCAGGTGAAGTAGAGTTTAGTAGAGTTTTTAAAATATAAAAAAACCTCTTTATGAATGTGGGGGTCTGGTTATTTTGGGATGCTAAGTGCTGACAGACGTGATGTCATTTATGGATGACCCCCGAAACCCACAGTTATCTAACTAGATAACGGGTAGTCTAGTATATATATATATATATATATATACATATATATATATATATATATATATATATATATATATATATATATATATATATATATATATATATATATATATATATTAGCTGTATGTCATTGCTTCGCTATGATGCAAAATATATTGAAAATGGTACTCTGAAGAAATAAGAAATAAAAAAAAGCACACAATGTAGGCCGACAAAACAAATTAATGTACTACTCTAAACAAGAAAACAAACAAAATATACACACAATACAACCAAAAACAATTAACGCAACACAATCTGTTTTGTAATCCTTGGAAAAAAAAAACTATTTGACATAATGATTCCAAGAATATTAATTAAGACAAGCGAACTAGGGGAAATAATCACTCTCTTAATATAACTGTGTATATTTCTACAAATTTAATTGTAAATGTAAAAAAAATATCAATAATTACTTTAGCATGTAATATAGTAGCTTAACACTATTCGGTTTTACAAAAAAAATATGTTGCCTACAATCAGAATTAAATATATTGTTATCATAAGTGCTAACATATTACAGCATAATGAAAGTTTTTAAAATTAGAGTAGGTATAAAATAAAACTTTTGTATATAGTAGAAGAACCAAATCTAATAATAGCTTACATAAAAGTCAAGGTTCACAGAAAGAAGCGCAACGGAAAAAAGCGCAAAACAAAAAGCGCAACGGAAAAAAAGCACACAGAAATTTCCGCACACAGAAAAAACATCGGCGACGGTCGTTAGTTTCGTAAACTGCACTAGTCATCTTTTTCTTTTAATGAAAACTCATTGGCATCATTGACATATGTTACATCTTTTGCGACAGCCTTAATTATTGCGTTTGGCTTGTATGAAAACTCACTTCGAACTAACTCAATGCTATTTATTTTAACATGACAAGGTAAGCGTCACCCAACTGTTGTGAGGTGAGGTGAGGGCAGGGTCGACAATAAACCAACGCGAAGTCAGCGAAGTCTGAATATAATTAACTTCTTTATTGTTTGAAAGAATGAACGAGACTAACTAAAATAGACTATAATTTGAAGGGTAATGAAAACATGTAAACAAAAGGGTCGCTACTCTAAATCTATGGGAATACTTATATGTAACAATCATAACACAAACCAAAGCATGTACTAAACGACTACATGACATTACCCCCCCCCCCTCCCCCCCACCCGGAGCAATTACCCCCTGTCAATTACCCCGTCAATTACCTCCCTGGAGAATTACCGATAGAATTCTGATTGTAAATCTAACTCTATACCTATATATTACCATAATCCTAACCTTAAGACAAAGACGAAAATCATAAGAATTCACCTCACCCTAAAAATAACTAAATACTAAAAACCAAACACAACTCTAGAAATTGATTTAAGCCTAACCCTAGCCCTAGTCCTACCCCTACCCCCTAATCCTAGCCCTAGCCTAGCCCTAAACCTAACCCTAGACTTAGCCCTAACCCAAACTCAAACCCTAGCTCTAACCCTAGCTGAACCTTAAGCTATGACCGGGGGAGGGGGGGGTATTGTCCTACTGAGCGGGGGGTAATTACTCCTGGGATTATGACGGTTGGGGGGTGCCCTGTTCCTGTACTGAACAGCATAATAGGCAGCATGTAGCCTATATAACAGAAGAGCTATGGATGTTGACATCATTTTTCATTCGTCCGGTAAACAATTTCAGTAAAAGACCTTCAAAAACATTCTATAACCTTTTTTTAATAAAGAAACAAAGAGAGATTAAGTTTTATTATAACATCAGGCTTTGACTTAGACCTACTGCAATGGCATCTATATTGTTAAACTGATTAACTATGTAATGTATGGCTCAATTGGATCAATGAACTAAACTTATGCCAAACCAGTTTGAAAGTTCGAGTTTTGTAACACTGTTACTAAGCTAGCAAAATGGAAATGTGCATAATCTATAATATAGATTCTATATCATCTACTTTACATTAACACCCAACCACCTACCTAACTACCCACCCACACAACTACCCACATACCCACCTAACAACCTACTTACCCACCAACCCACCCACTTTCCCACCTACCCATAAATATATATATATATATATATATATATATATATATATATATATATATATATATATATATATATATATATATATATATTTATTTATATAAATAAATATATATATATATATATATATATATATATATATATATATATATATATATATATATATATATATATATATATATATATATATATATATATATATTATATGTTATAACTGGGGCTATGTGTTCCTCAGCTATGCAGTGAGAGGGTCTACATTACCATTATATTCTGTCTAGCAATTTAGTAGTTCATCCTAAAGCACGACGACATCAAGGTATACAAATTATTCGACAGGACGACATTATTTAATTTTACAATTTATTGCACTATAAAAAATACATAGGACGACTTGAACGAACGATACTAAGACTGTACTACAGTACAACATCACCTTAACACAACAAGAACAAGAGTACTTTTTAACTTCTTTCCCCGACAACAACGATTAAAACGTCACATTGTAACTATTCAATTCATCATTAACTTTCGCACTGATATTCGTTCACACCAATCCTCCTTGTTTAAATAAGTAACAGTGGTATTAATTTACAGTGGGGTCCATGGTGGTGGGGGGTTAGGAATGAACCCCCACCCCCTTCCCCTGCCTACGCCATTGATATGTGTATAATAGTGCGGAGCATTAGTCTATCTTATATTAAGCTGAAGTGGACTATGTGTCTCTGTAAGTATGTAACATATTTTTGGGAGACATGCATGTAGTAAAAAAAAAAAACCACCATTATGTAATATTTCTAAACTGTTCATTATATATATATATATATATATATATATATATATATATATATATATATATATATATATATATATATATATATATATATATATATATATATATATATATATATGGAGAGAGAGAGAGAGATGGGGGAGGAGGCTCGAAAAATAATGCGGGGGGGGTGTATTTCCGCCAATGCCACACTTAAATTAGGACTAACCTAGGCCTATTTCAAGTTAATATTATTATTTAATGATGAATAACAATTATCTATCTATGTATATAATTCTCTTATTGGAGACGTTAGAAAACAAGCTGTAAGCGCGCCTTTCTGTCCCCTCTCTTCCTCTCTAGGAAGTCTGGTGAGCTGTGGTTCACGCTAAATGTTTACGTTGGTAGAGCCGGGTTTAGTGACGGCTATTAGGGGCAGATAATTTAGTTTAAAACGATTTTAAACTTTGGGGAGGTAACTAAGAGGAGTTTACTTTCACGGGAGGGGGGGGGTGGGGTAGGGGAAAGGAGGGGGGGGGGGGTTATCGTCCTTAACGACTTACTGATAGTGTTTTAAAGCAAATATTTTCAGTGACAGCAGTGGTACTGTCGAATTCACAAATTATGAATTACTGATACGTAGAAAATAAAACAACTAAATAGCGGCGTATGATACGCCGCGGGTCGGCTCGTAAACAATAAAGCTTCGCTATACATTCTACATACTACTAGCTACACATAGAATCTACAAGGCTGGCTGAAAAAAAAAAAAAAAAAAAAAACCAAAGGGGAGATTACCCATTGTGCAAATCGCTAATTTTTTGTTCATACTCATCCGCACAACAAAAAAGTCTATTTAGTTCCACTTACTATTTTTCTTTAATAGTTATACATACCAGATTATTATTACATAAAAATACTAATTTGTTTAAACAATGAAAAGAAAAGTATTTTTTTTACATAAAAGCATAAACTTGTGTTTAGATTAAGTTAAATCCCTAATGCCAGATTGGATTAACCAAAAAGGTAAAGATTACCTGTTGAAGCTTAAGCAAAACTTTTAATGATCACACATATTTAAAATTGTACTTTTAAGTAAGTTATCTACATTCAATGAACTATTTGCTCGTCAATAGTTATTTAAAATATGCCTGCACAAGTTTAAAAAAAAAACCACGGAATAACGGCAGATGGTGCAGAATATATAACACGTATAGTTAAGTATAAACGCTTATTCTAAACAATACAATAAGAAAATACATTTTTACATCAAAGAATTAATTTTATTTTAACATGTTTGATTAAATATTATTAACATATTAAAAATATTTTTCTGGCTTCATATTGTAGCGAAATCTGCCTGCATAATGGCGAGTCTCATTATGAGCGTATGAATATAGGTCTAGGTACTATGCATCCTGTGTAATGACAACATTTCAGGGTTTCTGTACCAAGGTATATCTGGAGTCTAGAATTAGGATTATAAATTATAGCCTGGTCAAACATGTCGAGTGTTCTTAAACGCAGCATGGATCGAGAAGGATCACCTATGAGCAAGAGATCAAGGTCCGGGTATGGACCAGAACATGATATTCGCGATAGATTGAGCCCTTCAGACTTTGAAAGACGCGATAGTTACGGAGGAAGCCGAGGAAAGTATGATCCACGCGATGCCCCACCGGGTCCGCGTCCTGTTTACCGTTCTGAATTTTTAGTTCACGATGGCCCCCCGCCTAGACAATTTGAAAATCGTGCACCACCCCAGGGAGCACCATATCAAGCACAAACTCGGTGGTTACCAGAAAATAATGATTATAGATCACTTTACATTAGTGGTATACCTAGCAAAGTTCCGGATCAGATTGTTAGAGATTGTTTAATTGACAACTATAAAAGGTTTGGTGAAATGAATGTTAAAATAACAATGTCCAATGATCAGCGTGTTGCTTATCTTAATTTTCGTTATCCAGAAGATGCAAGGGAAGCCCTGATGAATGGCATAAAGTTCTTGTTTGATAGAGAACTTAAAATCAATCCGGTATTTAACAAAAGACGCAATCTTAGTCCCAGTCGCAATATTTTACCACCTGGTGGTAGCAACAGTGGCAGACTGCCAACAGATCCTAGTTTTTACAGTCGACACTCACCACCACCTTATGACCGAAGGCCACCACCTCCTGATGTACCACCGTATGGTGGTCGAGATGACTATCGAACAGGTCCCCCTCCTCCTGGAAGTTTACCACCTGAAGGTGAGAGAAAAAGTGAAAAATTTCCTTATCATTTAGATCATGTTGATCCAGAATATGATGATAAAGCAACTAGAACTCTCTTTGTAGGTAATCTTGATGTAAACATAACTGATTTTGACTTGCGGAATATTTTTGGGAAATTCGGAATGGTTGAAGATGTTGACATAAAAAGGCCCATCCGAAATACAGGAAATGCTTTTGCTTTCATCAAATATATAAATCTGGACTGTGCTCATCGAGCTAAAGTAGAAATGTCTGGAAAGTATATTGGTAGATTTCAATGCAAAATTGGTTATGGGAAAGTGACACCCACAACAGTTGTATGGGTAGGTGGTCTTGGACCTTGGGTTACAGTTGAAACATTAGAAAGAGAATTTGACAGGTTTGGTGCTATTGTACATATTGAATGGCCAAGAAATAAAAACTTTGCTTATGTGGTTTATGATAGTATAGATGCTGCACAAGCAGCTTGTCAGCAAATGCGTGGTTATCCACTAGGTGGCCCAGAACGAAGATTAAGGCTGGATTTTGGAGAAAAAGATCATATTAGCAGAAGTCACAGCTTGCCTGACTACCATTATCCTCCACCTAAAGACCGCACTTATGGTCCCCCACCAGAGCGCCCACCAGGTCTATGGAGAGAGACGCCACGTGGTCCCTTGGAGGGTCCAGAGCGACAGAGATATGAAGAATGGCAGCGTGAAAATCGTGATTATAGGGGACCACCACCTGAAGCTTACCGTGATGATGGTCGCAGACATGATGAATATCATTATGAAAGAAGACGGGAGCGCACTCCAGATTATGTTAAGGGTCCTTATCATGTAGGTGCTCCTCGATCACCAGAAAGAGCAAGAGGAGACTACAGAGATGACAGAGGCCCATCACGTGAGGAAGAAAGACATTTATCTGAAAGAAGAGATTACAGGGCACCTAGTCCTAATGGGGATTTTATCGATAATCAATGTCGTACATTAGCGGATTTGGCAAAGATGTTACCAGTAGCTTGGAATGGTGCTCTTATTTTAAAAAGCTCTGCATTTGCAACACGTATGCATGTTGTTGGAGGGGATGTTACATTGGTTGATACACTTATGCGAGATCCGACATCAACTGAATCACCTGTTTTAAAAATAACTCAGCGTTTACGGTTAGACCAACCTAAACTAGATGATGTTGGTCGCCGTATTCAAGTTGCTGGGCCTCGTGGTCATTGTATTCTTTTAGCTATGCCGAGTTCTCTAACTAATTATGAAGATAGTGCAGCGCCTATTCAGCAGCGTCCACTTAAAAATCTTGTAACATATTTAAAGCAAAAAGAAGCAGCTGGGGTCATCTCGTTGCCTCCAATTCCAATACAAGGAAAGAAAGATGTTGGGGTTTTACATGCATTTCCTCCATGTGATTTTGGATTTAATTTTTTAAGGAATCGAGCACCAAAATTATCTCCAGAGACAACAAAGGAAGATTATCTTGTTGTTGTTGTCGTCAATGGAGCTGCTTAAGTATTTTTATCTCCCATTGTTAAATGAATGCTGTATGTGTACTAAAATTTTAAATTGTTACAGTTTGTTTTGTAATTTTTAACTTCCAATTTTCTGTAATTAAAAACCTAATCTTTTAATTTTTGGCAGCTACGTAAATATTTTTCTATTCTTAAATTATACTTCTCTGTAATTAAGTTAGTAAGCCATAGGGTGTGATGCTGTAGACCTAGTGAAATTACAAAAATTATATTTAATTTATGCTAACCTGTTGTGCACTTTAAGCTGTAGTTTCAGTTTGGACTGTTTGATTTTAAAACTAGATAGGACCACACACCTACAAACACGCTAAAATTGAAAATGTTCTTGATAAATTCGCTCATTTCTAAAATATCTATATTTTTATTGGGTTATATTATTACTTTAAATAGCAGTAATCATTATCTATGAATATTATAAATAGGCCTACTTAGTTGTCCACATATTTTACATTTGTATGATAGGAAGTCTAATAATAGAACCATACCATAAAACTAGTTTGTAATGAATTTAACTCTAACTTAACCCATACCATTGTAGAGCTAATTTCATATATTATTAAACTAATTTAAACTGCTAGTCCAAATATTGGAATAAAAAAGATCAACTCAGCTCTACTTATATTTCTTTTTTTTAAAAAGCCCCAAAACTTAAATTACAAAATGTGGTATTTTTAATTTTAAGTAGCAACGATTTAACTAGACAATGTATTTACTGGTATTTGAATGTTTGGTTTTAAATTGTATGTACTGGGTGTGTAATTTATTGTTGAGATTTCCTCTTAAAATCATTGTTTTTATCATAGGCTTAGGATAAGGAGTAGAATCTAATAAACTAAAACAATTTAGCCCTGTGTAGAAATGTACATTTTTAAAGGCTTTTATTTTTACCATATTCATTTTGATGTAGAAACAATAATGTCTAACCATAATTCTTTCTCTGGAATAATCTTAAAAATATGTACATTTTTCTACAAATATAAATGTAAAGTAGAAGTACCTCTGTATACATTATTGTATATACTTTTTTTGTGAGTTGTGGAAGGTTCTACAGGTGTTTTTGAATCCCAGATGCATCTAGATCTACCATTTGGAACACAAACTTAGACATAGTTGGCTCATTTATCTGGACTGGATATGCGTTTTTATGTAAGTTGTGGCTATTGTAGAGTTAGTTGTGACCTGGTCATTATTGTTGACCAAAACAAAAACTACCTTTTCACCTAATTTATTTTTGTGATAAGCTCATTTTTTTGGCTTTCCTTTCAAATAAAAAAAAAAATCTTCAAATCAAAATTTAAAATAAAAAACAACCACTTACAAATTTTTATTATCACATTTTAAATAATACTTCTCCCAAGATCTAAAACATGTGAGCTGATGTAGCATACACCGCTATTTAGGTGTTTTATTTTCTACTTATCAATTCATGATTTGTGAATTCGACACTGCCCCGCCCAGTGAAAGCAGCCGTTTACAGTCGACAATGAACTTATCTCCCCTTAGTTTGATAGTTTCAAATAGTTTAAAAACTAAATTATCTGCCCCTAATAGCCGTCACCTGTTCAAGCCGGCTCTACTATTGTAAACGTTCGGGGTGAACCATAGCTCGCCTGACAGGTGGGGATGAGGATGGTAGCAATATGCCTAGCAAGCGAGGTAGGAACGGCCAAGCTGTGCTGTGTCTCGTATGGTCCCCATGAAGAGAATTATATATATATAGATTTTTTTTTTTGAGAGTATAATGGGCTAATACTAAATTGGGATATTTCTTTTCACAAGGGTATGGCATGAATCTATGGTAGAGCGAATACAACTGCTAACCCAAAACTTGAGTTTGAATCTCGGGTTCTTGTCCATAGAACATGTTGCTGAGTCCACTCAGCTTCATTTTAGAGAAAGTATTAGTGGCTAAGCATAGTGTTGACCACACTATACCTTCATGTGCAGAGTTCACTGAAACAGGTCAACTCTACTTCACCTGGGTAGTTCGAAAGGGTACTTGACTTGACGTTTTCTTTTCAAAGTTAAATTTTTAATTTCAGATTTAATTATAAAGAAACCAGTAATCCAAGATCCAAGACTTTAAAAGTATTGTGAGTATTATACTTGATTAAGATTGAATTTCATTCATTGAAGATTTTTAGAGTTTAGCAATTATTTAAGTCCATTTATGAACTATCCATATTCTCATCAGTTTATAATGATTGTTTTTACAAAAGTCAATCTTGCTTGCTTAGTTTCACAATCTTAAAATCATTCTGTAGAAGTAGGAAGCCTCATGTTTTGGTCACCCATTGGTTTAAAATATGTTCTGATTCTGTCTTGTTAAAGTCTTTAGAATAATATTACACAAAAACCACCGAAACTTCAGTTTTAAAATGGTCCCAGAGCTTTCTAAATATTGCTATGTCAAAAACTTGTGATAGCTTGATGATTTCTTAAACAGTAAAAAAGTTACGCCATTAAAAAATATTTTAAATATTTTAACGTTGTTTTAAAAAGACATGTTTGAAAGGTATCTGTAAAAATCTATGTCCCAAGCTTACTGGTTTTAACTTAACCCAAACCACATTCTTAAAGAGCAAACTGAATTTGTTTTCAAACAGGATAAAATACCTTTTGAATTAATTGCTACTAAATTGTCTTCTCTTACTTAATGATAAAATTAAAAGGGGACATAAAGAACACCAGTTGTGTATGTTTGATAGAAATCACCAATAATTTCTATACTTACACAAAAGCACACATGTTTTCAAAATGTTCTTTGAATTAAAATTCAATAATGTACTTATTTTTGAGGTTTGAAAAAAATTGAGTCTGTTTTCTTTGTATGAGTGTTTGTGTTGAGTTCAAAAGATTCTGTTTGTGACATAAACTTTTACAGATATAACCTCTCAAACATGGCACCCCTTAGGGTGTTTAAAAAATGCTAAAAACCAACTTTTTAAAACGTCATAACTTTTTTTACTACTTGAAATATATGAACAAATTTAGTACCAGCTATCTTAGAATCGTGAGTTCTTGACATAGCAACTTTCAAAAAAGCTCTGAGACCGTTTTAAATAATCATTTTGATACCTCTAGTTTATGTACTGCGTTATATTGTTTACATTTTTGTTTGCTGTTGTGTTGTCATTTGCGGTTCGTTTTTGTGCTTTAAGTATATGTGTGTGTATATATTTGTATACACGTCGTGTTTCATCATGTCAATATTGTAAGGTGCTATTTAAAATTAACATAGACACTACAGTGCTCACGAGATAGCCCGGGACATCAAATCGCATCCAGATGATATAGTCAACGATTATTGTCTATCTTGTCTTTAGTGTATATTCTTCTTTTAAAACAAAGGTAGCTGCCATAGTGCTATCAGGGGAGCCCGGGCGCTTTTGGTCACACAATCACCAGGACACAGCAGGCTGCATCTGTTGCGTTTTTACTGTGAATATAGTGGTACCCCTTACCCACTATGCAGAAAGCCCAATTAACGGATACCAAGTGCTAAGATGGCCGCTCGAGAACTAGGGGCACCAAACCATATGTTGTAAAAAATCTTAATTTGTTTTTCTTCTCAGAAACCTCACATGAGTATTCTCATCAACTCCCTAAAGTTTCATGGCACTTGGATGAATGGTGTTAAACCGTATCCGACTTTTAATTTTTACATACCGTATATATATAAAAATCGCGCAACCCTTGTGAAATTTTAAAAAAAAAAAAGATTTTTTTTTTGCAGAAACCTCCCCTGGAGTGTTTTAATAGACTCCCCAAAGAAATTTTCATAGCAATTGGATAAACTGTGATAAACCACAATCGACTTAAATTTTTTTATACCTTGTATAGTGAAGAATCGAATCGCACCTTGCCAGAGTGCTACCTCTGTGAAAATTGAAAAACCATTCTCGCTGAAACCTCCCCAGGAGCATTCTCAACAACTTCCCAAAGTTTCATGCCACTCTGATAAAAGGTGTAGTAGTGCTTAAAAGACACATATATATCTATACATATAATGTACTATTAGTGGTTGGAACCAAGGGTTAATAATATTCAGAAATGATTTTTGATTAAACAGAAAGTAAGATCTATATATATAATCCTCCTCTTCGAGCCGTTAGAAAACAAGCTGCAAACGCTCTCCCTACCTCCCCACCCCTACATGGTTTTAGTGAGCTGTGTTCACTCTAAATGTTTACAAGCAGAGCCAACGATTTTAAACGTAGGGAGGGGGGGGGGGGTTATGGTCCTTAACGAGCTACTTATAGTGTTTTAAAGAAATATTTTCAGTGTCAGCGTTGGTACTGTCGAATTCACAAATTATGAATTATTGAAAATTAGAAACAACTAAATAGCGGCGTATGTTATGCCGCGGGCCGGCTCGTAGTTGATATTAGAATTATAGTGGAATACTTCAGTCAATAGGTTATAAATATTTATACATTTCTTGTTCTTTAATCATGGCAATATAGTAGGCCTACACCAAAATACATTTCCACATTCATATAGTTACATAAGTTAAAAATAGATAACCAAATAAGTATGAAAAGAATTATAAAAATAAAAGGCAATTGTGGTGTTTCTTTTTGTCCTTAATAGTTTTAATATATGTAACAGTTATACATTACTAGTACTAGAAGTAAGTCAAATTTTGTATACATTTTAATTTAAATATTTAATTCAAATACATTTTGTTTACTTTAACTATTGAGCATATTTATTTTTTATAGCCATTTACTGCTTGCATTGTAGAGTGTTACATTTTCCCCCCACAGGTTCTACTGGTACACACAAGTCAAGGCTTCTGTTTATGGAGAAAATGTTAATAATTCATGTATTAGGCCATTTCATGGAAATGTGGTGTATCTTCGTACATGCAGTGTTATCAATCTTGTTGGACAAAATAAGGCAGTTTAATTGTATATTAATTCTTAAAATGATTTATTGATACAGGCACTGAACCAGTGAACTGTGTTATTGGATTATTTTGTGCTTTACTGGGAAGTGGTCTTTATATTGTAGTGCTTTAAGTATATTATGATGTGATTTCATTGTTGTGGTTTTATTCATAAAGCAAATCTAATAATAGTGCTATACATTTATAATGACTAGCTGAGAAGAAGTATAGTAAGGGTAATGTGCAAGATTTCATGATTGCCATTTTAAAATAATAGGTTTGTTGAACTGCAATGATGTGCATGTGAATATTTAATGCTTTTTTCCATTTGTGGAGATAGTGGTGTGTATATACATGTTCTTTTCTTCATTTGAGACCAAAGTGAATCATTGTGCATACTATAATTTCTCAAGGATGATCCCACTTTTTATTTCTATAAAAGTTCATTTTTCAATGTTGTCATTTGTTTTCCCCCCTATTATTTTTTATAGAGCCCATATTAGTATGCGGTGGTTTGTGTATCCTTAGAACTAATAGATCAATAAACATATTACTCTACTTGAATACAGTATGGAATTTTGTGTAAGATGTGATCAGACAGCTCTAATAATCTGAGTGTGTTGTGGTTAATTTTAATCTGCGGTCAGTACTGTTAAAAATGAAAATGTGTTTTTGGTTACTATGCAAATTGTTCTGTAAACTGGCAAGCATAAAAACACTAAGTGATGGGGATATAAGTGGAAACATTAAAGTTGTTTCAACTTGTAGCTAGACGCATCTGGATGTGAATTCCTTTAGTTTAATCCAGCCTTGTGGTGACTACTAGTGTTATGGTTAGTAATACAAAATTTTGTGGTGTATGGTGTGTTTAATGATATTAGAAAACCTTGTGGTGTAAGGTGGCCCATGCATTTTATAGTGAGTAATACAAAACATTGTGGTGTAACGTGGACCATGCATTATAGTGAGTAATACAAAACATTGTGGTGTAACGTGGAACATGCATTATAGTGAGTAATACAAAACATTGTGGTGTAACGTGGACCATGCATTATAGTGAGTAATACAAAACATTGTGGTGTAAGGTAACTCTAGGTATATGGTAGTACACAACTTGTGTATGGCAAAAAGCGTGCAATCAGTAAAGTAAAAGTGAGATTCGCTTAAAAAATTTAAAGGTGGCAATTATATTTTTATGTTAAGATCATAGCCTACTGCAAATAGTTTTCAGGTCTAAAACTATAAACCTATGAATTCCAAATCAAGGAATTTACGTTTAACTAAAGCTTGGTTATACAATTTAAAAGAAAGGGTTAAATAATCAAACTTAACAGTATTAAGTATTTATATCTGTAAATAATTGTTAATAGCTATGACTGTGATACTCCACTGCTAATTTGGACTTGATCAAGGGTAGGCCTGCTAAATGGCATCTAGTCCAGGTTTCTAAGTCATCTGTTTTCTGCAGGTGATATTAAAAGTGGACAACCTTGTTTGTATTTTGTTCCAGAGTACCAAAATGGAGAACAAAAAATTAAGGATTTGTTTCCGTAGCATTATATTTAATGAAAATTAATGGCATATAATGTAGATCTACTTGGTTTTGACTTCTGTGGATGGAAGTTGTTTTTAGGTACCAAGACAGTTGAACTAAATTAAACGTTTTAAGTCATAAATATATTGGTCGTTTGTGCCTGCAGAATTGTTTGTAACAAGGATTTATTCTGTGGTTCAGGTAGGCAGTAAACTAAATGTATATTTGAATTAGTTGGGTGGAACAACTTGATTTATTCTGTAGTTCAGGTAGGCAGTAAACTAAATGTATATTTGAATTAGTTGGGTGGAACAACTTGATTTATTCTGTAGTTCAGGTAGGCAGTAAACTAAATGTATATTTGAATTAGTTGGGTGGAACAACTTGATTTATTCTGTAGTTCAGGTAGGCAGTAAACTAAATGTATGTTTACAGCAGGGCTGTCCACTAATTAGGGTGATAATGCCCTCCAAAAAAAATTAAATGTCTTCGCAAATTAAAGGGAAGGGGTTGTTGCAGTTCCTTTTTAAAATTTTGCTTGTGGCAACTCAGGTTCATGGTCTATATCTAATCTAGAACAAGTAATCTAATCTATACATTTGTTCTCCAAGCAGCCTACGAAGATCTAGATCTAGGCACAAATCTCAATTACATCTAGATCTAGTCAAGTTCTTTAAAATAAATCGTGGAGTGAGAATGTAACCGATTACCATCATTATTGAAAATGAAAGTGTAGCGATGATGTAAAATTTAACTTCAGTCGATTTTATATTTATCTGATTTTTTTTTGGTCATAAATATTGAAAGTAACTTTAGTAACTGACAAGATCATCTTTTGGGGGAAATATATGCATTTGTTTCTTTTTCTTAAATTGTTTTTGGGTTGTAGGCAGCCCTAAATACGTGATTACAAAATTTTTTACGAAGCAAATGGTAGTCTGTCCCAGCTTTATTTATCTCCCCCTTGCCCTACGGTCCTTAGGGCGGGAGAAGTAGAGTTCACCTGTTTCAGTGACCGATGTTCCCATCGAACATTAATTGTATGCATCATATTCATACAAATATTATTTATGTACGACAACCAAGTCTACTGGTGTGGATGTCTGTCCACATGGGCTCGAACATGAAAATCTTAAATAGATTAGATACCCAAACAGAGGCGTAGCGACCCTTCCCGGCGCCCGGGGACATACTTTCAATTTGGCGCCCCCCTCGGGAGCAAATTTTCGATTTGCACATCCCCCCCCCCTTGAACTTTTCATTTGCACCCCCCCCCCCTCAAACTTTCGATTTGCACCCCCCCTCAAATTTTCGATTTGCACACCCCCCCCCCCTTGAACTTTTCATTTGCACCCACCCCCCCCCCCCTCAAACTTTCAATTTGGCGCCCCCCCCCCTAAGTTCGGCGCCCGGGGACATATGTCCCCCCCCCTCACTACGCCTCTGTACCCAAAACCTATGCACTTGCTGTTAGTTACACTCATGCCTTTCGCTTCCTTAGATCTACATTGTCGCTTTGCACTTTGAGATTGCTCAATAAATTGAATAATTTATACATTACGAGCCGTGCTGCTATAGACTTAATCAACGGGTAAATAACGTATTTTAAATGTTTGTTTTAAATATTCGCAATTCGCAGCACTGTTTGTAATAAAATTATTGCAAGTTCCATCAGTTACCTCGAATTATTCATTAAAAAAAAAACCTAATGTTTACAAATAGTACAATTACTATAATACGTGTGAATGTGTTGATCTGTAAATTAAAAGAAACGGAAAAAAAGTAAATAAAAACTTCTAATAAATGCTCCCACTCCACCGTAAACGAGAAACTATATACTTTATAGGCTTGTAAACCTACAATATATATATTAATATAGGCTAGGGGGTCATCCATAAATGACGTCACACTCGTAGGGGGGAGGGGGGTTCAGATGATGGGACGTCAGACTTTTGCATTATAAAAAAGCAATGTTAGAAAACGAGTTTTAGCCGTTATTTCGCGTTTTAGAAAACTGTTTTAATAAATTCTAATAGGAATGTATTAAAATACTATGTTGACGGAGTTCTGACAAGATTTTGGAAAAATATCGATATTTAAAAAAAATAAATCCAACAGCAATGTTGAGGGGGGTTGTAGGCTGAGGTGTGACGTCATTTATGAATGACACCCCTCCCCTATTAGTCAGGACTGAATCGTTTTCAGTTAAAATTTAAACCTGATAAAATTTTAAATGCTGAAATTGTGCCTCTTTCTCAAAGTTACAGTTACAGGGTAACCTAAGTCCAAAGTTGTAATGTGAATGACCGGAGTGCTATCCTTTAATTTTTGTGAGTTTACGAGGCAATCGTATGTGTTGCTCTGTGTGCATATTTCGGCTTTACAAACGGAGAAAAAAAAGAATGTTATAGTAACAGCTTTGGTGACCGAATGGTTCAGTAAATACATTGTGTACATTATTACTACATAGACAAAGGAGTAACTGATTCTCTACAATACAAAGACTTCCTACTAGAGCTCAAACCTAGTGTCATCGTATAAAAAATGGCGTCATATTGGTGAGTATATTATTATTCTAGATCTAGTATTTAACCCTTATAGCCCAGCCGTTTCTTTTCCACTGTACATATTACCACACTTTCATATACTGCAATATTAACGAATTTAAATATGATAATAATTTAATATATAACTTGATTTCAATATTTCTATTGAAATTTAGCAGCAATAGAAACCGTATTGTTAAATTTATTATACTTAAGTCTAGATCCGGTACTAGACATTGCAGAGTTGACCAGAATCTTTCCTTTTATCATTGTTGACATCACATTTTTTTTTACATTTTTTTTTTAGGTTTTGCAACCAAAACGACCGTAAACAAAAAAAAAACAACTTGAAAATAATTCATAAATTTGATATTTTTAAATCAATGTTATAAGAACTTCAGAAGAGAGGTTGCAAATCCAGAGAACGTTAAAATAATTGTTTTAGCTTTAAGGCTACTTAATTATTTTTATCACTCCAAGCCAGTGGCATCGCTAGGTCGGGATCATCCGGTGCGGCAACTTAAGACGGTAGACACAACAGTCCTCTACTAGAGGCTCTAGCATTAAGACAGTAGACCTAACAAGATCATTCAGCTTGACCACTTAATTTTTTAAAATAAATTATAGTTAACAATGTACGTTAGAGGCAAATTTGGTAATTAATTTTGACCCAATTCTAATGGGGTGGGGGAGCTACCGTTTACTTACAATCGATATAGACAGGAAAACAATATATATAAAACAACTCAGCCATTTATTTTCTTATCAAATGTTTAAAATTCTGTAATGCAGCTCTAATTTAAATTTGTAACCTCTAATATCTACTAAGCCTTTGATATAGGCTACAATTAGTACCTTTAGTTTATCGACCACTAGATCCACCCCATACTGTTGAGGAATTATTTGCTTAGCCGGTCGACGATAGACTCTATATTGTACGCGTCTAGTTAATTAGCCTTTAAATATAGTTACATTTTATATCTAATAATGTTTTAATAATATTGAATCGTAGTAAGAGCTACATAGTAAGTTAGCTGTAGGTTTTCGTGTGTATTGTTAGTTGATGCAGTGTGCAATACTAGCCTATGGTAATTGAATCTTTGGTGTAATCATTTATGTCTAATAGTTAAGACCTATAAAAGACCAATAAAGAATTGAATCTGTTATTCATAGTTATGTCTTCTCTGTGTGAATGTTTAAAAATGCGTACTGTAATTAAGTAGAGTGCTGGGCGCCACTTGAAGCATGTGTATAAGGGGTGGTGGAAGACTGAAGACCGACTGACTAAAAAGGGAAGACAGCCATAAGGCCGACATTGGTAAAAATTCTAAAAAAAATATAAAAGAGTGTCTATTTGGTACTTTACTACAAATAGCCCTCAGAAGGCTATTCGTACTTCGCTATTTTTAGCCGACCAATCAAGTTAATTTTAAAATTCATTGTCCTGCGCATGCGTGCATAATTGTTTTTATTAGCTTGTGTTGAGATTCCAATTTTGAAGCTCGTTGTAACTGTTCCTGTGGTCGAAGTGTTGTGCATTGGCTAGTTTGTTTTCGAGGCGTTAGGTTTAGGGTAAGTGAAAAGGTTAGATCTAAAAAAGAATTAGTTCTCGATCTATAGGCCTACAGCATGAAAAAGGGAATTCAAGAATAACAGAAAAAATGCCTCACGCTGATTGGTCAGAGTACGAATAGCCTTCATAGGGCTATTTGTAGTAAAGTACGAATAGCCGGAGCCATAAAATATGGTGAAACTCATACTCCCCCACCCACAAGTCAACGTTCACAGTACGACGTCAAATCTCGTCTGCATGACCCGCCCTTGTGCGACAATGTTTGTTGCTAACCTCAAGAGGTGATCAGTTGGCTCCATGCGACTAGCATAAAAGTTAAACAGGTAGGTGGAAATATTTTGCCAACGGCCCGGTCATTTTGGCTCCCGACAACTGGACCCTTGTCAATACGGTTCCAGTATGAATATGAAATCTGCCACTACGACCAGTTCATCAATGCTCCTAAAAGTTGCACAGAGAACACCCTCTAATGAAACAATGTGTGCAGCCATCTTGTTCGGCAGCTATTTCTTCTTTTAGGCCGACCAGAGTGATGCGCTAACAGAAATTTGCGCAAAACTGAAAAATGCGCTAATAAAAAAATGACGCACACAGAACATAGTACACAGATCCCTCAGCAATGATGAATGTGACACTGTATCAAAGAGAAAGAACAATTGCGCAGAAAAGAACAGGACTAAAATAGAACATGTGCACACACAGAAAATTACACATTACATTTCTCATTGCGCATAAAAAATAATTAGGCATCCAATTAAGTAAAATTTAATGGCATATTGCATGGTCTTCAAGTAAAGTCTTGATCCGCGTGCCAACTTTGAAACGAATCTTTCAGTGTTCTATATTTAATAAGCGTAAATAGCGTAGAAGCGCTTTTAGCATGAAAATAAAGTGGTCGCGCCATGTTGCGTTCGGTCGTATTTGTGTCAAATGAGTAAGAAATATTTTATGACTGCCTCCAACCTCTGATTACCTTTAGGGAAAACTAGAATACCCGTCATCCGTTGGATAACTGTGGGTTTCGGGGGTCATCCATAAAAAAACATCACGTCTGTCACTCAGAGGCATAGCGACCCTTCCCGGCGCCCGGGGACAAACTTTTCGATTTTAACCCCCCCCCCCCCCAAGATTTCGATTTTCAACCCCCCCCTCAAACTTTTGATGTGCACCCCCCCCCCACTCAAACTTTCGATTTGAACCCCCCTCAACCTTTCAATTTATTTTTCCAAACCATTTTGGCGCCCCAACATATGTCCCCCCGCCCCCCCCTTCCCCCCTCCACCTCCCCCCGCCCCCCCTTCCCCCCTCCACGTCCCCCCGCCTCCCCTTCCCCCCCCCCCCCCCCCGCCTCCCCTCCCGCCCCCCCCCCCCCCTCCTCGCTACGCTACTGCAGTGTCACTTATCGTCACAAAAAACAGACCCCACATTCAAAAATATGTTTCTTATCTTTTAAAAACACCGAAAACACCGATTTCGGACTATCCCTTCATATACTGACGTCACATGTGACCTACTCAACTCTACTTCACCTGCCCAGTGTCCCGCCAAGTCTCAGACAACATATTTTTATCGTTTAAAAAACGATTCCAGCCGAGCATGTCTTTGACCACACTATCTTTTCATATGCTTAGGACAAAGAAACAGATGAACTCTACTTCACCTGCCCTGTATCCTGCCAAGTTCAGATAGGCAACTTTATCATTCACATCTAAAAAAAAAAAAATTGAAAAAAAATATCATTGACATATTGGTCTAGAACCTGTGCCACCCACATGAGAGCGGGCTACGCTACCAACTTAGCTATTCACTCGTGACGTCACAAATGAATTTTTATACTATACTTTTGAGTCTCCGCGCATAGATCTAGATCTAAGTCTAGTTAAATTTAATCTTAAATTAGCCAAACAAAGATTTATATAAAATAATTAAGGCCTGAAATGGATTCTAGATGTATTAAGGCCTGAAATAGATTCTAGATGTAGAATTTACATTAAGTCTAGTAGTGACCTAGATCTAGGCTAGATCTAGGCTAGCTAGATTCATAACTTTCCTTCGACATCTGATCTTTAGATCTAGAGAAATTTATCGTAAAACTAAATGAAAAAGACAGTTGAAAATTGATATAAGTGTTGGAACGTAATAAATACAGCAAACGGACGTATTGTTTAAGTTATAGCCGGCAGAAAATTAGCTTTGTAACGCGTTAAACTTTTGAATGGGCCACAAAGTCTATGATGGGGTCCGCCATTTTTATTGAACCAAAAAGTAAACACATCAAGGGACGTCACTATCCCCACAAAGTTTATTCAAAGTATTAACATTTTTAAAAAAATACGGTTAATTTAACTATGAATAAATCAATAAATTAATTAACGTCTTTAAATAAATTTGTGATTAACAGTCTGTCTGCATTAAAAAATTATTCTCTACCTACATACTATTTTACAGCTCTCCAGATAGAGTCGAACATATCACAATTTTCGATCAGGCAAACAAATAAATATTCAAACATGTAAACAAAGTTGAGTTTTAGTAGTATATAGATAGATAGTGTGTACTAAAATCGAGAGATACACAGCGTCGATGTGCGATCACTCTTTCAATAAAAAACAATTTTAGATAGCCTTAGTCCATTCACCGGTAAAGGGTCGTCCATAAATGACGACAAACTCGAAGGGGTGAGGTCCGTAATTTTGTGACGGTGTGTGATGAGGGGGTGGGGGTTCAGATGGTACGACGTCACACTTTTGCATTATAAAAAAGCAATGTTAAAAACTAATTTAAGACGTTATTTCGCGTTTTATAAACAAGGTAATTAAAAAGTCTAGTGACAATTTTAGCGCAATTTCCTTATGTTATCTAAAAATAGCTCTGTCGTAGCGTAAATCAAGAGCAGGGTTAGTAAAACCATTGGTTAGTTATTAAAACGTTTTTTATTAAATTTTTTTCCCAGTATTTTACATGTTTTATTTACAATAGAGTTACATGACTAAAAACCATTTCGCGCCTAGCTACCGAACGTGAAGTCGCAGCCATTGAACGTGATGGCGCAGTTATTGAACGTGATGACGCGTGTGGTGTGGTTGGATAAAAATGCCTACTAATTCGGTCCAAATTTTAATTAATTCAAAAATTTTTTGTGACCGAACGAAAGGATATTTTTGAAAACTTTCTTCGGCAATATTGTTCTAAATTATCGCAGGAATCGATAGGTACATGTTTCAAGTCGCTAAGTGGTCTGGTTGCCGAGTTATGGACCAAAAACTGCATTCTTCGAGGTTTTTTGGCTTTTCCGGGAAATCTATGAAAGAAACCCGGAATTTTTTTGGCCTATGTTCATCCTCGTAAATTGCTTAACATAATTGCTTTTGGAACTAGTCCTCGATATTGCTTCGTTGAGGAGGAGATACGACTTAAGGGCAGGTTAAAACCCCAAATTGAAATTTAGGTGTTAGGACTTTTTTGAGTGATAAGGAAGTTGTAACTAGCATAGTATATGAAAAAAATGCAAAAAAAATCACTAAAAAGTTATGGTTTTGTGGAAATATTTTCTAAAAAGTGTCATTTTTGGGGTAAAATAGCTCAAAATTAGCTCTCATTGAAATCAAAATAACAAAGCTTCTGTTTGTCAGAATAACACAAATCTTTAATATAGTGTAATATACGCAATTACAAAAAAGTTGAACTAAAACAATTAGAAAATAATAAAAAATGGATTTTAGTCAAATTTTTTAAAAGTGAGACCTAAATTTTTTCCAAAAAGTAGGGAGTAGACTTAGCTTTTTTTTTTTATAAAATGAGAAGTTTCAAAGAAATAGAAATTCTTTTAGTTCAACTTTACAAGCAGTGTTTAGTAAACATGTGTGCAAAATTTCAGCTAAATATCTCAAGTAGTTTTTGAGTTATAGTGATTTAACTGGTACAATTTTGTTGAAAAGTACCATTTTGAGAAAATCGCTAAATAGTTAAAAATATACTAAATTTGAAAAAAAAAACGTGAAAAAGCGAAAACTATACCAAAGAAGTAATTTTTAAAACCTCCCAGTTACATAAATTGCATCTGGAGCCTCTTACTCAGCAATAAGAACATCTACTTTAGTTAGTTTTTAATTTTTATGTTGCTAAATGTTGCTTAATATAGGTGAATTACGTCAGTCTCATTAATTAAAAAAATTATAAAAAATACTAGAAATACGAAATTTTGCAAAATGATTATACAAAAATGTTCAGAATTGAATGTACTTTCAGAAACAATAGATTTTCAAAAATCAACATTTCTGACTTAAATATGTATTTGGGGGGGGGGGGGGGGGTTTAACCTGCCCTTAAAGCTGCGGACACACATCCATCCATCCATCCATTCATTCATACATTCAGAAATGACGGGTTAATAAATGCAATTCTCCAGAATGGAAATTGCTAAAAAACTGTTTTTAATAAATTGCAATAGGAATTGATTAAAATATTCTATATTGACTGAGTTCAGACAAGATTTTGGAAAAATGTCGATGTTTTAAGAAAAATTCAACTGCAATTTTGAGAAGGGTTGTAGGTTGAGGTGTGCCGTCATTTTAGGGGTGGGGGTCTGGCTTTTTGTGACGATGTGTGACGGGGGGGGGGGGGGGGGGGGGGAGGGGGAGGTAAAATCGTCAAAAAAGCGTGACGTCATTTATGGATGACCCCTAAGTTGACACGATGTAGATTAGAGTTTAGAGTAGACTAGACCAGGGGTCTCCAAACTACGGCCCGCGGAAATCTTTTGGTTCACGAAAAAAAATGTTTGTTAAAGGTGGCTGAGGAACTTGCCCAGAAAATTCAAACCAATTTGAAAATGTAGCTTTGGGCGCAAACACCATTGCCTTCCGTGTTGAGAAATTGATCAAAAAATTGTGACTGAAATAGTGAAAACTGCTAACAAGTTTCGCAATTTTTCAATTGCAATGGATGAGTCGCTGGACAGCTGTTTCTTGTTTTTGGAACAAGTACAGGGTGGGTGGCATTTAAAATGAATATGTATATATTTCTATATAAATTATATTTCGGTGGGGGGGGGGGTGTCACGGGGACACCGCCACCCCAAAGAGATGCATGGAAGAAACTCTGGCCCCCGAACTGATATTTGATAGTTAATGCGGCCCTCAGGCTGAAAAGTTTGGAGACCTCTGGACTAGACTAACTAACATCATGGAAAAGTTTTATGTCTAACATTTTCCAGACTTTTAAAAAAGCCAGTCCAAAAACTAGTGATTTTCCAGACTTCTAAAAGTCTAACATTTACTTTTCTAGACATTTTCCAGACTTTGCACTTTATCTCTCGTTTTATTATTTATTTTGGTAAAAACCGAGAAATAAAGTACACAGAGATTGAGGCAGTGAACCCGAGGAGGCTACTAGTAGTACTAGATTCTAGATCTATTTAGTATTTACAAATGTTATAATTGTTAATATTATTATAATATTAATTAATTAGTTTTTAAAAAGCGTAACACAATTGAAATAAATAGATGGAAATAGGAGGGGTTAGACTTGTATAAAACTAGCTTAAACACAAACAGCATCTTATTGATAGTATAGTGTCTATCACTATTAAGTCTTGTACCATCGTATAGTATGCTTTAGCAAATTTTGACTACAAGTTTTTAATTAGCAGAATTGACCTAACAAACATTATTAATGCAGTAGAATGGCCTGGCCTGCAGCATAGAATGTATAGGTTAATCCACAGCAGCATATCAGTCCAACAGATCTCCACGTTACTATTAGCAACTCTTTGACACAAGGAACATTGATTTTTGATACAAAAAAACTTCTTAATTATCATTAACTTTTAATTTCTCACAAAAGCATAGCATCAAATAAAAAATTTGATTCTCAAAATTTACAAGAAGAGCCTCGTGGAGAGAACAATTTGTAGCCATTTATGACAAATTTCACAAGGTTATACATTAAAGTAGCTGTTTGACATATATACATTTATATAATTATAATTTAAAAAGACAGAGCCTAGGTGTAAATCCAATAAATGGAATGCATAACTTTAGTGGTCTTAAACTGACATTTTTGTTGAGAAGATCTTTATACTTATAGGCTCTAATGATATATGAATGCAAATAAATACACAATAAAAAAAATTGACAAAATAAGGGCTAATGATTAGTATAAAAATGTAATATTTTTTAGGAATAGTTTGTAAAAAATGAAAGACTTATGAACTTTACAAAAGGGGTGAAAAGTACACAACCAACTTGCACACTTTTTCGTTGTACATGATTGGCAAGCTGAATTGCTTGTCTTAGATATGCCATTATTTTCATATGAACAAAGTTACAAAGTAAAAAATTATTTAGATCTTTTGAAAAACTCAACTTTTTATCATACAATAGCTCTAACATAACAGCTCAATGGTTCAGCCCCAGTAGCTGACACGAAGACAGCTCACTATAGAGCACAGCCCAAGTAGCTGACATGAAGACAGCTGACATGAAGACAGCTCACTATAGAGCACAGCTCCAGTAGCTGACACGAAGACAGCTCACTATAGAGCACAGCTCCAGTAGCTGAAATGAAGACAGCTGACATGAAGACAGCTCACTATAGAGCACAGCCCAAGTAGCTGACATGAAGACAGCTCACTATAGAGCACAGCCCAAGTAGCTGACATGAAGACAGCTCACTATAGAGCACAGCCCAAGTAGCTGACATGAAGACAGCTCACTATAGAGCACAGCCCAAGTAGCTGACATGAAGACAGCTCACTATAGAGCACAGCTCAAGTAGCTGACATGAAGACAGCTCACTATAGAGCACAGCCCAAGTAGCTGACATGAAGACAAATCACTATAGAGCACAGCCCAAGTAGCTGACATGAAGACAGCTCACTATAGAGCACAGCCCAAGTAGCTGACATGAAGACAGCTCACTATAGAGCACAGCCTAAGTAGCTGACATGAAGACAGCTCACTATAGAGCACAGCCCAAGTAGCTGACATGAAGACAGCTCACTATAGAGCACAGCCCAAGTAGCTGACATGAAGACAGCTCACTATAGAGCACAGCCCAAGTAGCTGACATGAAGACCGCTCACTATAGAGCACAGCCCAAGTAGCTGACATGAAGACAGCTCACTATAGAGCACAGCCCAAGTAGCTGACATGAAGACAGCTCACTATAGAGCACAGCCCAAGTAGCTGACATGAAGACAGCTCACTATAGAGCACAGCCCAAGTAGCTGACATGAAGACAGCTCACTATAGAGCACAGCCCAAGTAGCTGACATGAAGACAGCTCACTATAGAGCACAGCCCAAGTAGCTGACATGAAGACAGCTCACTATAGAGCACAGCCCAAGTAGCTGACACGAAGACAGCTCACTATAGAGCACATACCAGCTAATTACACAATATTTACAGGACAGCCAGGAGACAGTATGCCCTTATTCACTGAGCAACAGCAACACACACTTAACTCATATTTACAGCCTGATATTAAGCAACTCAATTAACCTCAATGCCTTCTTTCCTAAAAATATAATCAATGCCATCATTGACATCATGAACAAATTTGTGTGGCTTGCTGAGCTCTGGTTCATGTGCAATATCTCTGTGGCCATGGTAAACATCAGTGGACTTGACAGTTGTCTCCTCATCTGCTGTGTGTTTGTAGACACCTGTACCAACCAACATACTAAAACAGTCCTCCACTGTCTGCTTGTGAAGCTCGTCACTCTGTGGGATCAATCTAGAAACTGGAACATCTACAGCATTGGCGTTGCTATCTTTTCTCTTAATGAAGCGGTCATACAAGTTAGCCCCCACTATGTCCACATTTGGGTTGTCCCTGATATGAGAAAAAGAAAGGAAAGACATTTTTTAAAAGGAATAAGAAAGTGTTAGAAAAACTTCAGAAAAGGATTTGAAAAACTTTAGAAAGGGTTAGAAATGGTTTAGAAATGGATAAGAAAAGTTTTAGAAAAGGATTTGAAAAACATTAGAAATGACTAGAACAAATTTAGAAAAGGATTAGAAAAACTACTAATAGTACAGGTTTAATTTTAGTACTAGTGATGGCTGAAAAGACTATTATTTCTACTGGAGGTTGAAAAGACTTCTCTAGCCAAGCTGTTATGGTGGAAGTTTGAAAAAATAATGGTATGGTATAGGCACTCATTGAATAGAAAGAGCTTTCCTTTTATTCTTAGTGTATACTTAAACAATGTATTCACTCAAGTCCAATAATTGAATTTAAAATCAGAAGTCAAAAGAAATTAGGCAGTTTTAGAAATATAAATACTTTTGTTGACTTTGTTAATATCAATTATCGCTTGCAAAAATTGAAAATTCTAATATATTAAAAAAAAACGACAACATAATGATCCTTAATATTTTTTGGAAAATTAGGCAGTTACCTTTTGGAGAATTGTTGCTCAGAAAATTCATACTGATATTTTTAGATTTTGAATATTTAAAAAAAAATGTATGCTCATTATCATTTGGTCTAATGAGAACGGAAAACATTAATTTGATTAATATCATTATTTCATTGTTTACAACATACCCAAAAAAGTATAGGCGCTTGATAGGCTTGCTGATTCCCATTTGTTGCGCTATTTTAGACACCATATGTTCAGCAAATCTATAAGTTATTTCACAGGGTTTGCCTACCAGATTTTTGTAAAGAAGATCCTTGCCTGTAATTTTCTGAAAAAGTAATGCAATGGCTCCATTAAACTAGGAAAGATTTTAAACAATCAACTATAGTAGTAGTCCCCATTAGATCTACTAAATTAAATTGTACATGTTGAAAAAAATATTTTCAACTTCCAGGATATTAAGAAATAACCAAATTCAGAAAAAAAAACCCAGCAATAAACAGTCTAAAACTAAAAGCTTTGAAATCAAGCTATAAAACTAAATAAAATTTAATTAACAATAACGGAGAAAAATATTTCCCCAACTTCAGTTGTTATCTGTTTACACTATAACCAATTTACATGCATACTGCTGTTTACCCTAACCAATTTACATGCATACTGCTATTTACCCTAACCAATTTACATGCATACTGCCGTTTACCCTAACCAATTTACATGCATACTGCTGTTTACCCTAACCAATTTACATGCATAATGCTTATTTCAGTAGAAGATTAAAATATCTATAAGAAATTATTCCACTAATTTCTCCATTCCTTCAATCTTGCACTTGAACAGAGATTTAGTCAAATATCTTGTTGGACAATAATTTACCTTGTAAAGTGCTTCAAGACAAAGAAGGAAGGCACCATGGCCAAAGCGAGGCATGCAAGCCTCAGCCATGAAGACAAGGTCCATGTTGCATGCTATGAGTGGAATTTGTGGAACATTATGAGGATCTTCAGGGGCATGTAGTGGTTTGCCCTCTGTCAATAGAAGGTCAATGATCAACTGAAGGTCAGTTTCCCAGCGACAAGGCTCTCCAATCAGTAGAATGACTGCAACATTTTAAAATAAATAATAATATTCATCAAAAACATCAATAAAAACATAGACTATAATTTTTTAAAATCTAAGAAGCCTCACCATCGACTCTGGGGAAGTCAGGATTTTCAATGTAATCCCCTCTTGCCTGTAGAGTAAAAAGTTTGTAGTATTTGTAAGGTTTGGCACACTTACAATTTTATATGACTTTTTTCAGTTTCACTATGTGTTCAAAATAATGCTCACTACCAATTAAGTGAAAAGTCTTTATACATTTTATATATTAGTAAACCGCAACTGTCATACTCATACAAATTGATGATTGCAAAGAAAAATACTTACCACTCTGCCCCTGTTTTCATGATCAACCATGTCTAACAGTGGGTAGGCCTTTTTTACATCTTCAATTGTACAAACATTTTTGAAACCAAGACTATTTTACAGTTAAAGGAAAAAATACTTTTTTTTCCAGCAGAAGGAAATTAGCATTTAACTCAGTGGTTCTATGGAACCCAGGGATTTTGGCGAGTCAGTCTCAGGGGTTTTGGCGAGTCAGTCTCAGGGGTTTTGGCGAGTCAGTCTCAGGGGTTTTCGCGAGTCAGTCTCAGAGGTTTTGTGGAGTTCAAGACATACACCTCGACTCATGATCAGATTTTGTCAATGCTGACGATTGAACTAGTAAGAAGGGTTTGGTGACTGCACATGTGAAACTGATTGGGCTCGGATTTTCAAAAATGGTTAAGAACCACCATTTAGCTAATATTTAACAAATAAGTCTTTAAAATAAATAAAATTTAATACATATCTTCCCAGCATTCGGTCAGTATATAAATAAAGCAATGATTGTGTAGGAATAGAGTATAAAGTCATTATTGCTAGGAGTTGGGTTAGGGTATTAAAACAAATTGGGTGTTTAGTTTCAGTTAAAGAAACTACTCCGCCTATTAGACATTCATTAGGCTTAAATAACCTGCTAAGTGATGTTTTAGTGTTCTATAAGTATTCATATTCGCCTGAGAATTTTCTTTTGAGGCACAGTCTGATGCGTCATTACATGCTTGAACTAGGTATAGTACATTTCTTTACCAGTAGTAACACAGTCTGATGCGTCATTACATGCTTGAACTAGGTATAGTACATTTCTTTACCAGTAGTAACACAGTCTGATGTGTCATTAGATGCTTGAACTAGGTATAGTACATTTCTTTACCAGCAGTAAACAACACTGGCAACAGCAGATGTGGGCAATAATGCTTTGATTTGGATTGTTTTTTTCTTCTATAACTAGCAGTTCATTTTCTACAATGTTAATAATTTTTTTCTCTCTAAACTAAAGGCAGTTTGATGAGTGAAACTGAAACTAATTAAAATGGCTTTTCCTTCTATTGAATCAGACTTTATTCATAATGTAACATCTACAATGAAAAAAAATTAAGTTCCAGTAGCTTGATTTTTATGTTTAGCGTTTAAAATAAATTTCCATTGAAATATTAGAGAATGTATTTTGTTTATGTTTTCTGGTAATAATGCTATTTTTATTTATTAAAGTAAATGATTAAGCTATTATATTATACATAGTAAACTTGGACAATTATCGTGTAAAACGCTTTTAGTTCTAATTTTAATTTTTTAATGTGAATGTTTTAAAAAAAAAGTGCCATGGTTGAAAAATGCGTTCTCTTCAGAATATATGGGAAGTAACATAATTTTTATTCCCGGACTGTGACGGGTTAAAATACCTATTGCTAGATAAGTTTAAAAGGATACTCTTCTGCTATTTCTCGCTTATGTTCCTGGCCAATGACTAAAGTATGTTTTCCATGAAATTCACTGAGAAGTTTAGCTGGGGTTGGAGCATGAATCACTTGCTCAGGTGTCACCTAAAAATAGATTGGATAATATTAATTCCATACAAATGTAACAGTATTATTTCAAAATTAGCAGGATTGATACCTGAAAGAAACACTGAATAAAAGTAGTAAATATTGTTTCAAGTACTTACATTGATATCAAACCATTTGCTGATTTGTCTTGCTTTATCAGCACTTCTGTTACAGGCATTGGTTACAAAGGCAACTGGAACTTTCAGGTTTCCATTAGAATCTTTCAGCTTCTCCATTGCTTTTTTGGCAGGATCTAGGGGTGCGCTTCCCCTGGCAAGAACACCATCCACATCAAAGAGAATTCCAAAACTCACCTAAAATATGTCAAACATTTTATATATCAAGTCTAGCTCACATTTTTTTGGTGGAAAATAAATCACGGATTTTTAAAAAAAAAATTGATATTCATTGCATGAAGAATTTAGACTTATCTTAAAAGCTATTTTTAAATAGCTCTTTCTCAGTGGTAAAAAGGGATGTGATACGCTGATTGAGATGAGGACATTTCATATGAGTGGTAAAATGATTGAGATGAGGATATTTCATATGAGTGGTAAAATGATTGAGATGAGGATATTTCATATGAGTGGTAAAATGATTGAGATGAGGATATTTCATATGAGTGGTAAAATGATTGAGATGAGGATATTTCATATGAGTGGTAAAATGATTGAGATGAGGATATTTCATATGAGTGGTAAAATGATTGAGATGAGGATATTTCATATGAGTGGTAAAATGATTGAGATGAGGATATTTCATATGAGTGGTAAAATGATTGAGATGAGGACATTTTAGCAAGTGGTACAATGTTTGTGATCGGAATATTTCACAAGGAATCTCTATGCAAGCACCCCGGAAAACACTTGTTATTGGTTTTCAATTAACAGACGGGTACCAATTCCCAATTAACAGACGGGTACCAATTCCCAATTAACAGACGGGTACCAATTCCCAATTAACAGACGGGTACCAATTCCCAATTAACAGACGGGTACCACTTCCCAATGAACAGACGGGTACCAATTCCCAATGAACAGATGGGTACCAGTTTCTAATTAAAACCATAGAAAATCTCTTAAGTCAATTAAAGCAATACACAATCTTTAATAGATAATCTATGGTGATTTCTAGCTGTGAAAGCCACCAAGTGCAATGAAGAAAAGTTCCCATGAATAAATACAAGCTATTTGAATACAAGCTATTTGAATACAAGCTATTTGAATACAAGCTATTTGAATACAAGCTATTTGAATACAAGCTATTTGAATACAAGCTATTTGTCCACAATTTTGTATAATATACAAACTTGAATATATTACAGAAATGAATTTCTACCACAGCAATCAGAATATTCACCAAATAGCACTATAGCCATCCCTGGCTAATTTGCTGCTCATTTATCCTGGCTTAAGTACATCACCAACTATTCAAAAATGTTCACAAAAAAATTCAAAGTTGAATTGTGGCAAGCCAGCAGAAATAAACTTTAGTTACATCTACGTATATTACACACATGTTTATATCATTCATACATTTTTACACAACAAATGCACCAATGTTCAAAAATGAGAGGGTAACACTACTTTGTGGTTTTTCACTTATTGTGGCCGATTCTGGTACTTATAAATTACAATAACTGAGGGATGACAATAGTATCATGGTTTCTGTGCATATATCCTATTCACATTCAGCTAAATAATGTGGTTGAGCAGCACAGAGCATGATTATTAACTAAAGACTAAAAAGTGTGTTTTGGGCACACAACTCTACCGTACGTCACAAGGTTCATCCAACTGTGATGGGTACCTAACTTTAATCTGGGAAAATGAAGACAACTGGACATAGTGTTGACCATATTATCCCTATATAAGCCAGGACTAGAGAAGTGGATAACTCCATGGACTGTCTGGGAGTTTTATTTAGTCATATCCTCAGTTTACTTACTTTCCCCCTAACTAATCATGTAGCTCTAGAAAAAAGGCTACTTCATTCGAGTGACTAGAATGAGAAATATTTAGTTTTTATACCAGCTTATCATAGGATCTGGCGGTTGTGAAATTTATTTCTTCATAGCTAGGCCTATTTTACAAAATGATGCTAAAATTTCACTTTTTTCACTAACCTAATCATTCAGTCAATGTACAAAAATATGAATCTAGTCCAACACCAGGAGAGAAATGCAATAGATCTACTATTCATATTAACTGAGTTAAAGATCTAGCTCCCAAACCCAGGCGTAGAATTGTTTAAAAAAAAACCGAATATAAAAATACAACAAGCTTTTAAATGTACCGACAATGAGAAAATAAAACTTATCTGCTTACTTTAATTAAAGCTTTTTGTCGCAAAAATATGTAAAAGATCTCAGGAGTGACCAAAGCTTTTATGAACGAAAGCAGATAAGTTCTATTTTCATACGAGCTGACCCGCGACGTAGTATACGCCGCCATCTTGTTGTTTTATTTTCTGCTTATCAGCAATTCATAATTTGTGAATCCAACACTACACCCCCCCCCCCCCCCAGTAAAAGCAGCCGTTCACAAAGAAAAGATCAATCAGAAATTGTTACCTCCCCTTCATTTCAAATCGTTTAATACTAAACTATCTGCCCCTAATAGCCGTCACTAACCCGGCTCTACGATTGTAAACATTCGGGGTGAACCATAGCTCACCAGACCATGTAGGGGTGGGGGTTTTGGATAAGCTGCGTTGTGTTTTCTAATGTCTCTACGAAGAGAATTATATATATATATATATATAGATATTCAGTGCATTTAAAAGCTTGTTGCTGCAAAGGTTCTATATTAGTTTTATTTTCTCGTTTTTAGTGATTTCTAATTTATAAAGTAGACACAACTAAAAACGTGTTTTAAAACACTGTCAGTAACTTGCGATATCTAAAAGATCTGCCCTGTGAAAGCAGCTGTCCTTGACCATATTTCACAGGTAACAAGCTCTTAATCTTGTTACCTCCACTTGGTTTCAAATTTTTTTTAAACTTTATTATCTAACCCTAATAGCCTTCACTAGATCTACCGTTTCTACAATTGTAAACATTCACAGCTCACCAGAATTTAAGATTGATCGCATCAGCTAATTATCTTCCCTTCTGTTATTAAATTTATTAATCTGTCGAGAGATTTAGTTTTGTTATCTCCACTTAGTTTTGAAAACCGTTGTATTAATTTTGAATGACTAATTAAACATATTCTTTCTTCTTCTTCGTTCTTAATTTTAGTGTTGGAAGGTATCCCCTCCAACACAATTAAGTATACATGTCAACTGGTTATGTGCCACTGAGGCCTGCTTTTCTTTTTGGATTTGCTTCCATAGAAGAACAACCAAGAACAAACTACAAGGCAGCAGTTATTTGATTTTGGAGTTGTCTCTCCTAGAAGAGTGGCTGTCCCCAGCTAACGAGCCTTATCTGCCAGAGGATTCGAACTTGAGACTTTTTGGTTTAGCAACTCGACCATGCCAACCCCTAAACATCTAATTAAATTAAAAAATTGATGGACTTGTATTGTCATCAAAGTGGAATGTGTCTAGAAAGTTTGAATGAAATTGCTACATAATAATATATTAGAAGTGGGTCAAAATTGAGCTACAAGATTTGCCACAAACCAACCAACAAACAAACATACGTAGACGTTGCGGACTAAGTAAACTCTTGTAAAAAGTGTTCAATCTAGGTTTATATAGAATTTATTATTATTCTACAGCAGAATTAGACAGCAGCAGGGGCGTAGCGAGGGGGGGGGGGGGGGGGAGTGCGGACCGCACCGGGTGACACCATTTAGGGGGGTGACACCAAGGCAAAAAATAGCAAAATGTATAGAGAAAAACTTGAGGGGAGGGGGTGCAAATCGAAAGTTTGAGGGGGGGGGGGGGAGAAGAGGTGCAAATCGAACGAAAATTTGAAAGTTTGTCCCCGGGAAGGGTCACTACGCCTCTGGGGGAAGGGTGACACCATTAAGTGCCGCACTGGGTGACACCCGACCTCGCTACGCCACTGGACAGCAGAATCTATTTTTAAAATATTAAAAAATCTATATCTAGTCTAGATGATGTTGAACCTGTTTTAAATCTTGAGAAACCTGTCTAGCCCAAAAAGCGTTCTTTGATGAAAATGTTATTAGATCTAGATCTGATTGAAAACTTCGTAATTTTTGTGTTTTTAAAGTTTGCAAACAACCCCTTTTGTAATCAAAGGTGCTTGCAGATCTAGATCTAATGAGTATGAGTCCTAAATCAAGACTATTTTTTCTGTCACTGTTATCTTTGTTCTTCAGTCCGTTGTAAGTGTAAAAAACGTAGCTGATTAAACACTCCTTGATATTTTGTTAAAGTTAAACACTTCTTTAACTTGAACATATTATTATTATAGTACAGCCTTGGCATTAGTCAAATCTAGATTTAGATCTAGTAGTACAGTAGTCTAGTTATCACCTATAGTTCTAGATCTAGATTTAGTGAAGTAGGTAGATCTAGTTACTAATTAATAGTTATTATTAGTAGTAGTATATACTAGATCGGTAATCTATCGTTTTAGGTACGTAAAATCGCCCGCGATTAGTAATGTGAAAAACAGGTGACTCCTTAAATTTTAATAATTATTTAACATTTTGAGGAGGATTTATTTTTTGAAAAATACAAAAATGTTCCCCTGTTTCATTTATGTACCTGTTTTTAAACAATTGAATTAAAACTTTTCAGTAATAAATGAAGACTAGCGATGTTTCCAACAGATGCAACATTGCTCATTTACTATAGCAGCCATCTTGTTTTTTTTCTTTTTACTGTAAACTTATAGCGCAAGATTCAGGGGAAGCCACTCTAACTTTCAGATGACCGCTTTTTATATAGCAAATCCTGCTCGCAAACACTGCTGTTTAACTTGCCTATAAAAAAATGTTTGATATATTTAGCCATTGATTTATGTTTATTATTCATTTATCTATAATATTTGACACAAATATATCACAATATACCTTCTATTAAAGCCTTGACGATGAGTAACTTTTTCGATGAGGTAACTTTTTCGCACATTACCAGCTGCGGGCGATTTTATGTACCTAAAACGATAGATTACCACTAGGATCTAGACTATATATATATATAGTAATAGTATATACTATATTATATAGATCTAGATCTAGTAAAGTTAAGGGTAAAACTCCATTTTAGCATATTTTATTGTATTTTATTCGCCGCTTCACATTCACATCTGGTTGAGCTATTTTTATTATCAACACAACCAAAGCACACAAACACATTAGAAAAACACTAGGATTAGAGCTAGATATAGAATCTACTTTTTTTTTGATGAATGTGAAAAGGTAAAAAAAAAAACCATAAAATAGCATTAGGACAGTTCGAATTGAATAGGGTGAAAAAAATCCCTGCCCGGTTGACTTTAATTTAACAATTATCATCATTTGTCACAAATATACATGCATAGTCATAGCACATTCAATATTCCAAATTTGGATTTTTCTAAAGGTTTTGACAACAGTAAAATATCAAATATAAAAACAAAAATTCATAAACAAATATAGATCTATTAATAAGCCTAATGATTCCTAACGTTTTCGTGTGTTATGGTTGTGTTTTATCTATATATATAATTCTCTTCTGGGATCAGTTAGAAAACAAGCTGCAAGCGCCTCCTTGCAGTCCCCTCTCTTTCTCTCTATCAATATCACCCCCCAACCCACCCCAACATTGTCTGGTGAGCGGTGTTCACTCTAAATTTTTTACAAAGCTAAATGTTTACAAATCAAAGAGCCGTACAGCCGGGTTTCTATTAGGGGCAGATAATTTTGTTCGATTTTAAACTTACAGGGAGGTAACTAAGAAATAACTAAGAGGAGGCTGCTTTCACGGGGGGGGGGGGGGGGGGGCTGTAGGGTCGGGGTTAGGGGAAAGTGTGGGGGGGGGGGGGTTAGTGTTTTAAAGCAAATATTTTCAGTGGCAGCATTGGTACTGTCGAATTTACAAATTATGAATTACTGAAAAGTAGAAAATAAAACAACTAAATAGCGGCGTATGATACGCTGCGGGTCGGCTCGTACTATTTACTATTTAGATCTAGAGTCTAGATCTAGAAGATCTAATCTAGATCTAGTATTTATAATAATATAATAAAATACGCTCAACTGGAGGTGAACGTGAAGCAGGGAATAAAATACGCTAAAATGGAGTTTTACCCTACTAGTAGACTATATGGTAGGCCTAGATCTAGATTCAAGATTCTATATACTAGATTTGATCTACTAGATCTAGATCTATAGAAGTCTATTGTCGTATTTAATTTTAATTAGTAGGACTGTAGTAAGGAGTAACATTTTCAAGACAGGAAACTTACGAACTCACGTGACAGGTTGTTTACAACGAGGGTGGGCGGGGTTTAACTTCACGTGGGGAAATTTCAATGACAGGGGATGGGCCTTACTCACTGCAAATTACAACAAACCCCACTTCCCACTCCGGAAAATTGCTCAAAGTTAGAAAAAAATTAAGAACACAATAGGTCTACTTACTGTTGTATTTTCATTGAAATCTGATCCCATTGATACATCAGAGTTATCTGGAAAAAAAATTGTTACCATTTTTTAGGAAGATCAAGACACGCCAGATAAAATTGTGGGGAGTAACCTGCAGACCCTGCATTAAGATGATCTTACCGGTGGGAATATCCATCCGATTCTTCACTCCCTGCATTTTGGAACCTAGATCTAATATGTCTCATTTTATAATGCGTATTTTTGATACACTGTATAAGTAGAATAATTACAAGTCTTTTAGAAACTAAATATTAATTTTAAAAATATCTCTCCAATCGCCAAGAAAGCTACTTGGACTAATAAACTACTAGAAATCAACGGTAAGGTTAGATCTATACAAGATTTTCTAGATCTAATCTAGATCAGATCTATATATGATTGTGAATTTCAAAGAAAATATTTTTGAAACACATTTATTTTCACTCAATTTAATTCACAATAGATTGATATAAATTCTATGAAGCTTCAAATTATTTTGGAAAGGTTAGCATTAATATTTGTGTCTAAACATCGAAGAAGAGGGCTGGTTTTATACTGATTTTTTTTGCGGCTGTTTATGTGTTCTACATTTGCATACCTTTTTTTATTGGCTGTTAAGGAAGCCAGGGCTAACAGTCATGCGCACAAAGTTCACAGCAAGTGCTGCGCTAGGCTTCTAAGTCGGTCTAAAGTTTCCCGGCTGACCTGCTTTTGAACCTTCATTTTAGTTTTTAAAAATATTTTATTGGTCAAGATAGTATATCGCAGATAATTTCGGTGAAGGCTAAATCATGACGAACTGATTTAGTTTTTAAAACAACCTGTCCTAAATGTGAGGTTAGATAATCAACTTCGCAGAGAGGAACAAAACGGCAAGTGCTAAGTGTACACATACAACAGCTGGGAAAATCAGCTGATTCACATAAACATTGAATACACTCAGCTGTTTACAACAAATTTTAGTACTGGTAAAAAAAACAAAAAAAGATGTTTTGTTTCATATATACATTTAGTTCATTTAGGCCTATAAAACATATAGTTACGCATTTTGAAAATAAATATAATTACTTTTAATCGGTACATAGCCTACTCTTTTGATACCTAATAGATAAGAAATAAATAAAAAAAAAAAAACCCAAATGCCTTACATAAAATTATGCTAACTATGAAACAATAATTTGAATAATATTATTATTAATTTGATACATTGTTTTTATCTTATAGTTTGATTAGACTGACGAGAGCATTCTTTGTTCTTGATATAGTTTGTAACAATGTTTAAACGCAATGTAAAAAGAGGTTGGAGGGGGGGGGGGGAGGGGGGGGGAGGGAAGGGAAACAAGACGGCACTCAATGATCACGCCAGCCTAGCATGCACACGCTACGCGAAAAAGATGGCCTTGTGGCGGCGTACACCACGCGCTGCTTTGTGTCCTTGACATTTCCACATTCTTTTGTTGTAGTTATTTTAGCACTATCACATCATTACTACCCAAAATAGCGACGGGGTCAAAAAACAAAAACACATCAAGTTTGTTTACACTATACTTTTGTCTTTTAACTAATACGGGCCTACAGTATGTTGTGGACTACGGAATACAAAGCGCGTTTTAAAAACACTAATAAATCTGGTACGTACTGGTTGATTAAAAAACAACAACAAAAAAAACCTCCATAGAAATGTTAGATCTACAGGGGTGTATTCAGTGGGATTTTAGATTGGAGAACTATACTCCTCCCCCCCCCCCCCCCCATAGATGCCCAGATGTACGCGACAGTTTCCCGTTAGGATTTTGGTGGTCAGTGTACATTGTATGTCACTTTCCCAGAAATAAAATTGTTATTGTCCTCAAAGCAACTCTCACCATAATTGTACGTGAAAATAATAGTTGCACTGAGGTTTATGTAAGTAGTAATAAAACATGTAGTTTTAGTATTCCTCACACCATTAAAAACAATTACAAGTACATTCGCCCCCCCGAAAAATTTTTACCGCCCCCCCGAACGAAATGAAATTTATATAATTTATATAGAAAATATATACTTTTAACAGTGTCCGCCCCCCCGAAGAAAGTTTACCGCCCCCCCCCCCCCCCCCCCGAAGATTTCAAGTGCCCCCCCGGAGAAAAAAGTCTGGAAGAAACACTGAGGGGGGGGGAAGGGGGGGGGTAGACTTTCTTGGGGGGGGTCTCCGCCTGGAAGAAACTCTGTCAATGACTACATCAAGAAGGAAGTTAATGTCTAGATATAATCACAGTAAAAAATGATCTAGCGTATCAGACTGCGAATTAGTGTGAATTAGTGTGAATTAGTGTGATAATATTCGGATTATCAGAGGTCAAAGTTCACAGTATTGTGTTCCTTGACCCGACTGTTACTACAGGTAAAAATAGTAACAATGACACAGATCACGTGACGTGTGCATGTATCGACTACTGGGTAAAGCTCATTGACTGGATTCTGGACGTATCTACTTCGGTTAGTGTTCGGCAGAAAACCTTGATGACGTCTGATACTAGGGTTAGGGTAACACAGGCAAGTCTACCACCCTCCGCCCGGACGAAATGAAAAATTAAATAAATTATATTAATCTAGAAAATTTAATAAAAATACATAAGAAACGTTTTATAAGAAGCTAAAAAGGAGAAAATAAATAATTTTCTTTAAATATATAATAATACACTTCGGTTTAAATAACTACAAAGAATAGCTTCTTAATTTCTAGTAAACGTATTCGATACATATTATAGCGACCCACGCTTTTCTTTATAGATTTTTTCAATAGTTGTTCCAGAGCCTTAGCGAGGGGGTGGGGGGGGGGGGGTGCAGACCGCACCGGGGGACACCAAGGCAAACAAATAGCAAAAATATATACAGAAAAATAATAATTCCACTTAATTAAGTGATTTTAATTTGAGTGAGTTAAAAAGTCTTTTAAGAGCAAAGTTGACAAATCCCGACAAGGGTGGATGGGGGGGGGGGGTGGAAAGAGGGGGTTACGCCATGAACTAAACGTGCTAATGATAGAGAAAACACGCTACATCAAGCTGTATTTATAACCGATTATAGATCAAAATCGTTAGTATTATCTGAGCAAAGTTTAAAGCAATCGCCGTGGGGGGTGGGGTGGGGGGAAGGGGGGGGGGAGGGGGGGGGGGGGGAAGGGGAAGTTACATTAACTCATCGTTGCAAAATATGCCTGAGGTAAACGGCTTGGTTGAGAATCGTAATAACCTATGTGTTAATCCATGAATGGGAGGGGGGAATATATATATATATATATATATATATATATATATATATATATATATATATATATATATATATAAAGCAAAGTGGTCGAGCTGTATTCATAACCGATTATAGATAAAAATCGTTAGTATTATATCTGAGCACAGTTTAAACCAATCGCCGTGGGGGAGTGGGGAAATAACATGAACTCAACGTTGTGGTCACTTACCAGCGCAGCAGGCGCCTTGAAATTTGACAGGCTCCTGCCTTGGGGCAATAGAACACGGGGGCCTGTGCCGGTTGGCCGTAAAGTCCACATAGAGGGGGTCAAAACTGACCTCGACTGACCGGCGCCTTATATGAGCTATATTTCGAAAAAAAACTTTTGCCGAACGACCCCCCCTTCATATTTTGTGAGGTGGTAGAAAAACACCTAGGGGTGTCAGAAAGAACTCGTCATATCCTGGAAAATTCTGCAAGTGGTAAAAACTGACCAATCGTATTTCCCCATATATAATCTTTGTATTTTATGTCAAAAACAGCGTAATTTCAATACTAATTTTTGGGTACTAAACCTCTGTACATCTTGCTAATTTTTGGCATGCACCTCTATAGATGACTAGGCCTTATGGACAAACTGTTGGTCCTACTCAAAGCCCTTGATGAGGGCTAAAAATGAGCACGATTGGAATTCTTATATGGCGCCACGGGCTAGACTGTGAGCACTTTGCGTTTATGTTTGCATTTAAGTTTGTGTTGATGTTTGCGTTTATTTGCATTATTTTGAGTTATTGTTTGTGTTTAAGTTCGCGTTTGTGTTTCTATTTGTATTTGCGTTTGTGTTTGCTTTTTTGTTTGCCTTTGTGTTTTCTTTGTGTTTGCGTTTGTTGTTAGGTTTGTGTTTGCGTTTGGATTTGGGTTTGTTTTCGTTTGCTTTTTTTATTGCGTTTGTGTTTTCTTTGTGTTTGTTTTTGGGTTTGTATTTGTATTTGTGTTTGCGTTTGTATTATGTTTGCATTTTTGTTTTTGTTTTGGTTGGTTGTGGTTAGGGTTAATTTGAAAAGTAATAATATTTCCTAAACCCGGGTAATGCCGAGTATATGTTGATTACTAAACACACAAGTCATGGTCCTTTACAGATAGGTTTTTCAGGCCAAGTGCAGGGCCTGGCAGGTACGGCTAGTCCACAACCACTTACATAACTTTAAAGAAAACTGTAGGTCCCTATATTATGTATTGGATACTTTTACTAATATTTAGTAAGCGACCCACGCTTATAAATTCCTTTTTATAGGCGTGTCATTTTTTTTGGTACGCGTTATTTTAGTAATAACTAGCCGTCCCGGCCAGGACCTGCTCTGGCTTCTGTGATAAACCTTTCTGTTAAAGACCATTACCTGTGTGTTTAGTAATCATCATAAACCCGGCATTGCCCACCCAAACCACAACCAACCAAAACCAAAACAACAAAACGCAAACATAACGCTAACACAATTACAAATACAAACGAAAACAAAAACCTAACAACAAACCCAACCACAAGCACAAACACCAATACGAACACAAAGAAAAAAACAAACGAAAAAGAAAAAGAAAACGAAAACAAACCAAATCCAAACGCAAAACCAACCACAAACACAAACCCAAAGAAAAAAACACAAACAAAAAAGCAAACGAAAACAAACCAAATCCAAACGCAAAACCAACCACAAACACAAATACAAACACAAACCCAAAGAAAAAAAAACACAAACGAAAACGAAAAAAGAAAGAACAAAAACGAATCAAATCAAAACGCAACCACTAACGCAAA